TGATTGACACCCCAGATAGAAGGAAGTCAACACAGTTGTGTCATTAATTTGTTGAAGCCTGTAGCATTTGGACCAATCAGACACACAATTGTTCATTAGATTTAACAAATCAATTATTCATTAGATTAACAAACAATCACAGACCCCTCAGCCAACATCAGACTTGGTGCTAATATGTCTGTGAATGATCTACAGACCAGGCACCTCAGCCAGATCAGATAAACTTTACAATCTAAAAGTATGTTGAGAGAATCTTCCTCCCTACTCAATTCTCTCTAAAACAGATACATACTGCTATAGGAACTGAGTCTTTCATTAAATAATAAACACATTTTTCTCTGACTTTCCTATCATGCATATCCCCAGGTCTTTGTGTATGATTACTACCTCCTTGTATATGGTCTTGTGCTGTAGCATTTGGACCAATCAGACACACAATTGTTCATTAGATTTAACAAATCAATTATTCATTAGATTAACAAACAATCACAGACCCCTCAGCCAACATCAGACTTGGTGCTAATATGTCTGTGAATGATCTACAGACCAGGCACCTCAGCCAGATCAGATAAACTTTACAATCTAAAAGTATGTTGAGAGAATCTTCCTCCCTACTCAATTCTCTCTAAAACAGATACATACTGCTATAGGAACTGAGTCTTTCATTAAATAATAAACACATTTTTCTCTGACTTTCCTATCATGCATATCCCCAGGTCTTTGTGTATGATTACTACCTCCTTGTATATGGTCTTGTGTATCGTATACTGTTTTATGCATGCTTATGATAGATCACTAGTTAATATAACCTCACCTATACCATGTTTGGTATCTATGAGTTTGTATTTTCATGATCTAAATGAGAGTGTATATTATATGGTGATACCTATGCAACACATTAGTATTATAGGAATATTGAAGATTCTTCTCTTGAACACCCAATCGAGTTTCATATGCAAAGCACCATGCTAGAGACAAAGCATCGTAAAATTTCCCTCCAAAGGTACCAATCCTCATTGGCTCACTCAAATCCTGAGAGGTGTGACTTGCTTCGAACTTATAAGGCCTCATATCAGTGACCCTCTGGGGGTTTTTGGCTTTTGTCTCTTGTCTCTGCTCTCATCACCCACCCGGGGTCGGCGCAGCCGCTCCTGGCAGGCCTCGACTACAGCCATGCCTTTACTTTCCATCTGGGAGAAAACTCTCCTGACCACCACAGTCAGAATAACATCTTTTTGGAGTTCATCACTCTTCAAACCCGGAAGAACGTGATCGCGACTCCTACACCACTGAACCTCCAAACCATCAAGACTTTCATCTGAGACTGCATCCGGACACTCGTTCAAGGCCAAGGCAATGCAAGTATCGTATATTTAACTAAACAAAACGAAAATTTAATTGTAATTATTTATATACATTTCCCTTTTGAGCTAATTTGCTACAAGCCGTATTATTGCCATTCTCAGAAAGCATTAGACGCCAAGACTGAAGTGAAACCTGTATTGATAGTTGAGAGTACTTCACCTGTTCCTTTGGAGGAGGAAATTGATGAATGAGTTTTTTTCCAGAGGATACGGTACTGTTGGGACATCTTCAAAATTCAGAGACTCTTAAAAATTTGCATAAAATGTTGGCCCATTTGCCAGAGAGTAAATGTGCTGACTTGATTGCTCTCATTAACCGTCATGTCTCTTTATTTGGTGATGTAGTTACGTATGCACTGGTTGGACTGCTGCACATATAACATGAATAATTCTATAGCATACATGATCACCCCATAGCAGATGTACACAGGTGGAGCTGGGGAAGGTGGAGGGTTTTTGAAGTGCACTGCTACTGCTACAGCAAACACTGCCAAGTATTTGAATGTTGAGCAGCGAGCTCATTGGCTACCATAACAGGAGAGAACCAATCAGCTGTGCCATGTGATAATGATGTCATTATGTCATACTGAGTTAGATCTATAAGACTGCGCCATCTAGAGTTTCATGCCAGACCTTTGTATTTCTGTCATGACAACTCTAGGAGTGGTTTGCATGGTAATATATGGTACATGACAATGTTAATGTATTTGGTCTTGGCGGAATAGATCTGCTAAGCTGCTGCTGCTGCTGCAGAGCAAGTACAGAAACTTACTACTGCCAATATATCCACAATATGCTGCTGTGAGCATGTAAGGAATATTGCTGCTGCACATATAACCTATATGAATAGCCCCCCACAAATCAGGAGACACAGAAATGAAAAATACAAGCCAATATGTGCATGTTGCTGAGTATAAGGATATAATGGTGTGCCTGGGCTACCATGCCAACCAGCTTAACTCTAATCTGACTCACACTATGTGTAATGTTCACAAGTGTTAACAAGAATATGCGTTGCAATCCGATAGATAAGACCCCAGCACCCACCTGAGCAAATGTCATGAATGAATGAATGAATGAATGATGCATTTATATAGCGATTTATTGTGTATTGCTGTACACCCAAAGCGCTTTACAATCATGTTGGGGGGGTCTCTCCTCAACACCACCAGTGTGCAGCATCAACCTGGATGATGCGACGGCAGCCACAGTACAACGTACTATGACACAGCACAAATACATAAATTATTCATTTGATAACTGTTATTAAAATAACAATATTCTCTAATCGAATAGAGCCATTAGGAACGATAAAAGCATGTGCGTTTGATGCTGCGTGCAGCTGAAATCGACCGCACACTCAGAACAGCTAATGAAACATCAACCTTAGATTTAAACAAATGTGACATTGAGATTATGCCGCTGAATATAGCAACCCCGGTTGAAATGCATACACAAGAATGCTTATTTCATTTAGCTTGTTTTCATGTCTGTTACTATCGGCCTGTCCTTAGAGCGATTGCATGCTCTAGACTACGTTTGCTCCAGCTGTATAAGCACTGATGCGTAAATGCTGCTGCTAATATGCTTAATATTTCACTACTGCATATGATGCAAACTGCTAACATGACACTTATTTTACCTTGTTTATGGTTGCTCATTTTTGAATTATATTAGGCAAACCACGCAATACACACAGCAATATGGATTAGAAGAGCATTCACTTATCTTAGTTGTTGATTTCAGGCAGGTCTAAAGTGCACTGCCAATGCTACAGCAAACACTGCCAAGTATTTGAATGTTGAGCAGCGATCTATCGTACTGCACCATCTAGAGTTTCATGCCAGAACGTTGTATTTGTCTGGCTGACAAATTGGCCACAATGTCCTTGACTAATCAGTTATAGTTCAGGATTGAGACCTTGAAGTGCCCATACAGTCTGTGTCATGTTTGACAGGTACTGACCATGAACTCTAGTTTACTTGGGACAGTACTCTGATTTCCTCCAGCCAATCCAACTCATTTGTGACTAATTGGTTGAATGGTTTATGGCACTGAATGAGCCTTGTGAATTTTCTTCTGAAACCGTTCAAAATAGCCTATAGGCTAGGTATTGTGTTTATTGTTTGTACATGATAATATTTCGCTTTATTTACCAGTGTTATTTATGAATGTAATAATGCGATTTGTGCTTATATTTTTTAACCTAAACTACAACGTAACATTAATGTAGACCTACATACCGGTATCTAAATATGATTTCATATATTTTATGCTATATAGACCTACCACGTTACCCTCCACTGGATGTAGAATGAGCAGCATTAAACTACATTTTGGCATTTTACAATACTTATGTGGATATTTTGGATGAAAGTAACTCAAAAGTAACTCAAAAGTAGTGTAATGCATTACAATTCAGAGACAGTAATATTGTAATGTAACTAATTACTTTCAAAAGACAGTAACTAGTAATATATAATGTATTACATTTTGGAAGTAACTTGCCCAACACTGATTATGACATACTGAACTCGATCTATCGTACTGCACCATCTAGAGTTTCATGCCAGAACGTTGTATTTGTCTGGCTGACAAATTGGCCACAATGTCCTTGACTAATCAGTTATAGTTCAGGATTGAGACCTTGAAGTGCCCATACAGTCTGTGTCATGTTTGACAGGTACTGACCATGAACTCTAGTTTACTTGGGACAGTACTCTGATTTCCTCCAGCCAATCCAACTCATTTGTGACTAATTGGTTGAATGGTTTATGGCACTGAATGAGCCTTGTGAATCCATGGAATTATGCCATCTTTAAATACAATCTTCCCTTTGAGAGATTTAATGGTGCCAATACTGCCCTGAAATACGGAGGCAGTGTTTCTCAAGATCAGTGATCATTCAGACTCCGTCCGGTCATATATAGTACTACCACAGGCAGCACACCCATTTGAATTGTTTTTAGCTTTATTTTTGTTTTTCATTTAAATGTTAAGTTTTGAAATTTTGTTGTATGCATTTGTCATTTTTATTTAATTTCTTTATTTTTAAAATGTGTATAAGTACTATTTATAAAGTTTTAGCCTTTAGTTTTGGATCTGTTTTTAGTTGTTTTAATACTACAATTGATTGCTTCTGTTGTCCTCATTTGTAAGCCGCTTTGGATAAAAGCGTCTGCTAAACGACTAAATAAATAATATGTTGTTTTGCTCTTTTTAACTGTGTTTAACTGTGATCTGGTCTGTCCCACAGGCAAAGGACCTGCTGCAGCTATCAGAGGCGACAGATTTCGCAGACAATCAGAGAGTTTATGATGGACACAGACACAGGTTTTTTTAGCTTCAGACTATTATACCAAACAGGCAGAGGATATCAAATATATTCAAGAAACAACTGAAAAATTATATTTTCCATGAGCATCTAACTGCCTCCTCATAAAAAAAATAAAAAAATAAAAAAAATAAAAATCTAGTGTGTGTGTGCGTGCGTGCGTGTGTGCGTGCGTGCGTGTGTGTGTATGTGTGTGTATGTGGAGGAGCTGCCTGACTCCAACACAGAGAGTAGATGAGAGGACAGATCTAGTTGGAGATTGTTGGGATAATATGAACTGGCCTTTTTATGATATACATGAAATGAACCTTACATTGTTCTCAACACTCTGCCATGAAACAGGAGAGATACCAGGTGACCACACACAGCTGGAGTTTTATAACATTGAGACGGGGATCATTACAGAGAAACGCTACCTGCCCATCACGCCCTCCAACTTCATTGGGCATCTCCAGAGCCTGACGTTTAACGGCCAGCCGTACATCGACCTCTGCATAAACGGAGACATCGACTACTGCGAAGTCAACACCATGATCGGATTCAAGAACATCATTGCCGATCCAGTGACCTTCAGGTCCTGCTCAAGCTATCTGTCTCTGAGCGCGCTGCAGGCGTACTACTCCATGCACCTGTTCTTCCAGTTCAAGACCACCTCATCAGACGGACTCATCCTGTTCAACAGTGGAGATGGAAATGACTTCATCGCTGTAGAGCTGGTTAAGGGGTACGTTATGGAGAGACAGACATTACAGTCAGATGCTGTTATGAGTTGTTCATTCAACACCTTCTTTCCCTATCAAAATATATTATATCCTTGCAAATGGGAAAAAAACACTTTTATTTATTTATTTTGGAAAATTTGATTTTATTTGTCAGAGGTTTGCATTTAGATAATAAAGACACTGAGACAGAGACATTGAGAAAGTATTAAGCTGAGTATAGAAACATTACAAATGTAAAAGCTTGTAATATAGTTGATGGCATAGCTATTACTTCAATTTCGGAAGAATTTGTTTAAATATTTCGGAATATTTTAATTCATATTGAAATCTCTGATTTTTCATTGCTCACAACTTGAGGGATTTCTTCTAAATCTCTTGAGGAAAGATTTTCTCTCTCTCTCTCTCTCTCTCTCTCTCTCTCTCGCTCTCTCTCTCTTTCAGTAACATTTCTTCATGTAATCAAATCTCTGTCTGAGATATAAAAAAGCTCTTATTTGTGATTTTTCTTCCCTATGGGCAACTGAAACTAAACTGTATTTAGCTTGCACCTGCTAGTGGACTTTTTTACAGTACATTTATTATAATAAATATTTAATTATTATCTAAATCTTCTGTATTTGCATGTGTGGTACATTTCATTTCATTTCATGATATCTTTGTTTAGCTACCTGCATTACATCTCAGACTTGGGAAACGGTGCTTATCTCATCAAAGGAAACTCAAACAAGCCTCTTAATGACAACCAATGGCACAACGTCATCATCTCCAGAGACACAAATAACCTACACACTGTCAAAATCGACACCAAAATCACCACCCAGACCACCGTTGGGGCCAAAAATCTTGATTTAAAAGGTAAATTACACATTAATAGTATTTTAACTTGCCAATAACCCTGCTCTGCTGCCTTTTTTTGTGACAAAGGTGATGATATAGTGTTTTATGGATTAAAAATAATTTGGTAACACTAGATTATGGAACACTATTCACTACTAACTAGTTGCTTATTAGCATGCATATTACTAGCATATTGGCTGTTTATTAGTACTTCTAATGCACAAATTAATGCCTTATTTGGGATGACCAGATCCCTTAACCAGTACCAGTAAATAAACATACCTACTACAACAACTACCTTACTTACTGTCAGTAAGCAGCTTTTTTTTCTTTTCTTTTTTTATGGCTCTGTTTGCAGGTGATCTTTATATTGGTGGTGTTCCTGAGGAGATACACAAAGAGTTGCCCAAGTTGGTTCATGCAAAAGAAGGATTTCAAGGCTGTCTGGCATCTGTGGATCTAAACGGCCGTTTGCCAGACCTGATGTCTGAAGCGCTGGTCTGTGTTGGACAGATTGAGAGAGGATGTGAAGGTGACAACACATTTCTTACTTTTCAATAGGATCATTTAATTATTGATGATACAAGATCTGATCACCCTGTCAGGTTTTTTTTTTTTTTTTAATTATGCAAGACTTGTTACATATTAATTTAAAGAATATTGAACTATACATATTTTCATATTGTAATATACAACATAGGCTACATACTGTACATATTTAACATAACATAAATAAATAAGCTTCTATAAAGACAGGATGAAAAGAGAATTTACATTTTGAACACGCCATTAATATAAGAAATATTTAGCCTAAAAGAGTGGAATAGCTTTAGGTGTAAGTAAATGAATGAATGCTATTTTCAGTTTATTATTAACATTTACCTTTACTGGTTTACTAAGTTTACTGTGGTGATCATTTCACTCCTAGTATTGTTGCTGTTGTCAAAAGATTTGTTGTAGACGTTTATTGTCTCGTGCAAATGCAGCAGTTTTCAGCATCTGCTGGAAACACTTTTAAATGGATAGCATAATTTCTGCTGTTGCTGCATGAAATCTACTTTTCATACACAGTGTTATACCCCAAACGACATGAATATTTCATACTGTTTCCATCACACTCCTGCTTTACATAAATGACATGTTGACCTTTGTCTTGGCAGCTGCTTTGTCCTCATACAGTATCTGGTGCTTCTCATTTCATTTTTGGTGCTCCTCATTTGCTTTCTTTGTGTCCTTTCTTCTCCCTCGTAAGGTTCAAGGGCAGAATATAAGGAAAGGAAACAAGGTGGAGGATTCGAAGAGAAATGTTTAGAATAAATTGGAATATCCTTGCTCACAATGTGACAGGATTACGCACAAGGGAGCTGCCCTTACATTGTTAATTAAGAATTTCATAATAAAAATTAATAAAGCAAGTGCTTTACTGGTTACAGGGAAACAAGCAGAGCGCTTTTGTAATAATTAATTAAACGTTTACAAGATTAATAACTTCAAATCTTTGATCAAGTTTTGCTTGAGACAGCTGCCCCATTTTTAAATCTGCTAATAATGTATATCTCAGATAACCCCGCCTCTAAATAAATCTGAACTGTGGTTGATTGCTTTTAATGGAAATTAGATGCAGAAGAATGTGCAGTGTAGACAGAGGGTGCTTCTCAATTCCCTCATGAAACTGCCTAGTTTCATCACTCTCCATCTCAGCCTGTGACCCAGAAACCGATAAAACTCTGCTATGATGAATGATGTGCAAGTTGTCTAATTTTACCATGAGAATGAGAGGATAGGGTAAAGGACTCATCCTGAGTAGCTGCAGTGAGGATACACAGGTGCATCCTATATGGAGGAAGTCTTTGTAGTGAACAGCATTTTGTAGGGCATTCAAAAGATAAATTGAGTGTCTTCATGCTACTGGATGTTGGACTGGTTTCTTCTGTCATTTTGTCTGATTCAACCAGACAGTGGATGGCTAGATATAATGCCTTGACTGCTACATTCATTCACTCACTCAACAAACAATAAACCTCACTGTACAAAAAAATTATACTGTGTATATATATATATATATATATATAATTAAAAAGACAGTTATACCAATGTTTTCATATAGTTGACAGGTATCGCACCACAGTAAGCCTAGGATTTGACAGAAACATTATAATAGCATTCTGTAAATCATCCAACCGACAAATACATTTATAGTAAGCATTATATATCTACAGTCATGTATGTAATGTGTAGTGGCATAACGACTGGGTTAGACACAAGAAGAACTGACAGAGAACACAAGAAAACACAGGAAAATACACTGAAACAAACCAATCAACTAAATCAAATCAATGAGTAACTAAGGAAACAAACTAGTGGCGGGAAAGAGGAACAAAGGTAATTAGGTCAAACAAGGAAAACTAGATCAAAACCAAACAGAACAGAACAAACACATGACATCGTGGTAGCCTAATAGTAATGACGGAAGTCTTTTGAGGTTTTAGTAAAGTTTTAGATAGTAATTAGGTAGCACTTGAGTCATTACTAGTGGGTTACCATGATCTTCACTATAGTATACTGTTCCTAATAGCTAGTAATTCCTTTAGAAGTATCTAGTAACACTTCAGTCATTACTGCTAGGGAAAATTACTCTAAATGTCAAGTCAAGTCACCTTTATTTATATAGCGCTTTTAACAATACAGATTGTGTCAAAGCAACTGTATGGCATTAATTAGGAAAATAGTGTGTCAATAATGCAAAATGACAATAGTAAACACTCAATTTTCAGTTAAAGGCAGTTCATCATTGAATTCAGTGATGTCATCATCCAGCTCAGTTCAGTTTAAATAGTATCTGTGCAATCAAGTCAACGATATCACTGGAAATGAAGTGTCCCCAACTAAGCAAGCCAGAGGCGACAGCGGCAAGGAACCGAAACTCCATCGGTGACAGAATGGAGAAAAAACCTTGGGAGAAACCAGGCTCAGTCGGGGGGCCAGTTCTCCTCTGGCCAGACGAAACCAGCAGTTCAATTCCAGGCTGCAGCAAAGTCACATTGTGCAGAGGACTCAACTGGCTCCTGTGGTCTTGTCCCGGTGGCCGTCTAGGAGACAAGGTCTTTACAGGGGATCTGTCTATGGGGCTTATCTAGTTGTCCTCGTCTCCGCTAAATGTCCTGGCAGTCTCCAGTTCTTCTCACTGAATAAATAGATAGTAATAAAGTGAAAACAAAAATGATTACAAAAAAGTGTAAAGTTCAGAGGGATGCCAGAATATTAGCCACAAGAGTAAGGTCCCATTAACTACATGTAAGAAGCATTTCTCTGGGAGGCATGAATAAAATAGTAGTTACTGATTAACTGAAAGTGAACCTTAAACTGAGCGCTGTTACTAATTTGTTAATCTCTTGTCAGTAGTAGTTGCTGGAATGTTAATGTTGTGTTACTCATTTGTTCATGTTTAGTTATATATATATATACAGTGGGTACGGAAAGTATTGCTTTCCTAATCAAGTCCAATCAGTATAATCAAACACAGCTGGACTCAAATGAAGGTGTAGAACCATCTCAAGGATGATCAGAAGAAATGGACATCACCTGAGTTAAATATATGAGTGTCACAGCAAAGGGTCTGAATACTTAGGACAGTTTTTCTTTTCAGTTTTTCTTTTTTAATAAATCTGCAAAAATGTCAACAATTCTGTGTTTTTCTGTCAATATGGGGTGCTGTGTGTACATTAATGAGGAAAAAAAATTAACTTAAATGATTTTAGCAAATGGCTGCAATATAACAAAGAGTGAAAAATTTAAGGGGGTCTGAATACTTTCCGTACCCACTGTATATATAACAGTATTCTAAAGAGTTACCAAAGATGATGCAGATGAGAGAGAGTTTACCCTGTATGGGTTTGCAAATAAAAATATACAAATGCTGATGTCTTCTTAATAAACTTAATGAAGGCCAAGGGATCAAATCATAAATTACACGATGTACACTAGACCATTAGTTATAAAACAGTGCGCTATGATACACAGGACTACGCAACAAAGTATAGAGGATCTCTGTAGTAAATAGCTACAGAGTATATATATATATGTAAAACACAAGTAAACATGAGCAAGCATACCTTTACGTTGTCACTGGCTCATAAGCTTGTGAGGAACCTTTGTGGTGTGAGTGTCCCCCTCATGAGTGAGAGCAATAATAACTGGCTCTGGTGGTGTCTCTCTCTGATCCTCATGATGACGGTGTTCCTGCAGGGCCCAGCACTACCTGTCAGGAGGATTCGTGTGCTAATCAGGGAGTTTGTATTCAGCAGTGGGAGGGCTTCACCTGCGACTGCAGCATGACCACATACGGAGGACCTCTGTGTAATGATGGTAAGTCAGAATTTTTGCATCCCGTTTTAAAAAGTGCATCAGGAAGCCTGGTTGATGTGTGGTGCTGTAACACTGAAATCATACCTAACAATAGTGGTTCAGCAGGGTCATAATGATGAGGTGAGCATGTCCATGCTGTTAATATATTTGGGTGTGTGTAGGCCCTATTCAGTGCTTGACATCTGTGGGTAAAGTGTGCTGAGATTGTGTGTAGGCTATGTCTGTGTGCATGTAATCTTTATTTGTAATAGGTCTGTGCTGTACAATGGTAGGTGATGTGTTTTGGCATTTGGAAATGAACATGGATGTGATTGGTGCTGTCCTAAACAGTCATGATCTGATCTGTCATGTTTTATGAAGATTGAAAATAAATAATTGGAAGCTTATTTTATTACTTGTATTCTCTAGTTCAGTTTTAGTTTGATCTATTCCATCTCCTTTTAACAAATGTACCTGCTCAAAACACAATGAATTGTATTACGACATAATTTTGGACTTGGTATATTTCTTTAGCATTTCTGTCTTTACCATTGCTGATTGATTTATAGATTAATGGATTGATTTGTTCAGTGTTTTTGTGCAATTTTAATACTTTCTCTCTGGTACCCTATATTTCTTACTCTTCCCTACTATACCAAATATTGTTTGTAAGATTTAAAAGAACTCTGAGAGTCTTGTCTTGGCAAAGAAAATTGTCACTTATCCACCTTTTTCTTGTCGTAACTTTATTTGCTCTGTTTTATTTTGTGAAACCTCACTACGTATATGGAATAACTCTGCTTCGCGTCGTGCCTAACAACGCCCCTTAGCTGTTATAATTTCACAGTAAACCACGGCTTCTTGGGGCTTATTGCTTTAGTTTAATAGAGCAAATTCACTGTAGATGGATTTTCTGCCAGTCTCAGTGTGTTACAACACTGCTGCATGCTCTGTCACCACGTGAGGGCACTCGCGTGAAGCACACACAGCACTTCCTGATAAACTGACAGCCTGTCTTTCTACAGCCTTCATGCTGGAGTTGCTCTCGTGTATCTTGTACTTCAGGTCTTTGTTAGTTAATGACTTTAAACTCACTCAATTATTTACTCCAGATAAAACACCTACTTGAAAGAATTGGAGTGTTGATGCTGCATGGGCAGAAGTATTAAATGACTGAATAACCAGGTGTAATTAGACAAATGTAAGATCAAAGGTAAATAAACAGATTGATTACATGAGTTTTTAAAGCCAATAGTGGTGGAAAAGCCCTGTGCTGATGGAAATGAAGAAGCACTTTACTGTATTTGCCTTCCTGTGTTCGTCAGCCACTTCTGATTAATGTAGATCGCATCTCTCATTTTTATCATATTATGTGTTACTGAACACATGCACTAGATAGTTTGCTTCCTATGGTCTTTACATAAATATTTAACTTTAACTTAATTTAGCATTGCTATTTGACCACTGTTTTAAGAAAAAAAGTAAAGTGACATTAATAAATAAATAAAAAATCTTTATACATTATTCAGGAGTGTACATCAATGGGGATAAATCAAACTGGTATTTATCATTATTTCAAATAAAAAGTAAGCATGTTATTCGCTCGCATCTATTTCCGTTATTTGTGACCCGGTCCTGCAGATTTGCTTTATACAACATTAGGAAGATCAGGCCCTTTCTTTCAGAACATGCAACACAACTCCTTGTTCAAGCTCTTGTTCTGTCCAGGCTGGACTATTGCAATGCTCTCTTGGCAGGTCTTCCAGCCACTTTGTATGTGTGTATATATATATATATATATATATGTATGTGTGTATATATGTGTATATATATGTGTGTATATATGTGTGTATGTATATATGTATATATGTGTATATATATATATATATATATATATATATATATGTGTATGTGTGTGTATGTGTGTGTATGTGTGTGTATATGTGTGTATATGTGTGTATACACACCTTGCTACGTGTACTGCGTTAGGCTAACCGAGACTTGTCATTTGCACTTATATATTGTTGCTCTTTTGTTAGTTTTGACTGCTTTTATTGTCCTCATTTGTAAGTCGCTTTGGATAAAAGCGTCTGCTAAATGACTAAATGTAAATGTAAATGATCACAGGAGTACACAAAACTCCATTAGTCCAAAAAGCGTGCATATCTCATATGCTTACATTAAATAATCATTAAAAAATCAGCAAGTCCAGTATCAACAGAGACAGACATATTGACAGATGATGATATGAAGCCAAATAAATAAATGGTTATGACCATATGTGATTTGCCTTTGTTCTTCAAATGATCTCTAGTATTTTTTATATGAATAGTGTATGTTTATTATAATGCTTAAATATATAAATGAAATATTTATATATCCGAGCATCCCCAGGCCCAGGGATGCACTCGCACCCTTGCTTTTCAACAGTGGAAACGCAGCTAATCAGTGGTAGATCCAGATCACTTTCAGTGGTTTTGAAGGTTCCTGGAGGTCATCGAAGCATTCATCATGCCTCAGATTAAGGAAGGGTGAGAATTTCCTTCTGAACTTCCTCACACTAGCTATGTTTACGTGCAAATAATCTGTTTGCAATCAGACTGATTGCTCAAGTAATGACCTCAAAAAATCCATCTGAGCTTGATCCGAATAAAATTAGTATTTGATTAAAGTAGATCTTAAATAATCATAATCAGATTACAAGTAAAATTTTAGCCATGTAAACTGTAGAATCCAACTACTTTCTCAATCAGATTGCACACATTCATAGTGTCACGTTTACATACGTCTAATGAATGCGTGAGTATAGATGTATACTGTAAACACAACCAAACACTTCTCAATTCCCAAACAAATAAATGAGTTCTTCCCCTTGCTGCACAGCGCAATTACATTCAGGGCACCAGTTTGTATAAAAAAACTGCAACTGTGAGCTTTGCTTTCATCGGCACCGGTCACATCTGCACAGGGAGACATGCCTGCACACAAATCCACATTTATCAGCCCTTTTCTTTGTGTGTGCTTCTTTTTCCTGGTGGTTGAAAAAGCAACTTCCTCCCAAAGGACGACACTTGAGGGCCAAGTCGGCCTGCACAGACGGCTCTTTATGTGCAGTGCAGATGCAGTGTGCTCGCTGCTACTGACGTCACCTGGTGTTGGGCAGCAGATGGAGCATCTGGAGAGACAGTTGACGTATGGCACAAAGTCTCTTTCAAGTTGGAGCGAGCAAGAAGTGTCTCCGAAGAAAATCCTCGCTCTACTTACAGGAAGAGAGAAGGATGAATCCAGACTCGGAGAGATAAAATAGCCTTAATTGGAGGTGCCAGAGGAAAGTGAGATATTTATGATTTTAATATGATTTTTTTTACAACAGAGTGATGGGAATATAGCCTACAGAAAAAAAACAAAGCACACATCCCAGTTTCTCCATCTATGCAGTGTGTTTGTCTGCAGTGTTTGCTGTGTTTTGGCTGAACATTTGCATAGTGCTCTCGCGCCCTGATTCCACCGCTAGCGCTCCCCCTCCCTCTCTTTTCTTCTCTTCCTCCCCTTTTTTTCCCTCCGACCGCTTACTCTCTCTCTCGCACAGCCTCCGGAGCTGCTCTGTGGATGTCTTGTGGCTGGAAACGCAGCTTGCGCAGGTGTGTGGGGAGATCTGTCTCTCCATGGAGAACAAGAAACGTTGTCCTCGGGAAAGAGTGTAAATGAAGCTCTCACCATCTGTTGGAGGCTCTCAGCCAGCTGTGGATGGATTTCTTGGGATTTCTCCTCCTAAAAGAAAGACTGAAGACAATATTCAGCCGAAAAACAGCAGAAATTCTGATTTCAGGGAACGCCTTCGAATTCAGAAAACGCCTGATTTCTTGCATGTGCTGATACCTCAGGAGATATCTGCCAGTGTTTTCGCGGGATGTTTCAGTCATTGTCATGATTTCAGGCTACTGGGAGTAACGGTGAAGTAACTGATTTTATGGTTCATAAATTAAAATACTCTTTCCTGCTTTATCGAACATTGGATTTTATTTTAAACTGCTTGGATTTAAGATTAAATCCCTGAGGACAAACAGACACGGATTGGGTGTACTTTCTCCTGGCTTGCTGATTTCTAGATTTTGAGTAAAGTGTGTGTAAGTGAGCAGTATGGGCAGGCAGGTGTGCTGAGCGTCCGTGTGTCTTGACATTCTCTCGCTCTGGGAAGATGTTGGGTGGCTGGAGGCTGGCGGACTGGCAGTCCTGCTCTGTGACCCTCATCAGGGGTCTGGCCTCAGCTGCCTGCCTCGCCCTGTACCTCACAGCTTTCTCACTGGGCATCGCAGCCAGCTCGGAGACCCCCGCGAGGACACGTCAAACACACATCACCCATGGAGGCAAGATCCATCACATCGTGCCTATCACTATTAACAGATCACCTGGGTCTCTGCGAGCAGGACATGGTGGGTAGCAGCGTAACATTATGGAGCATAAACACTCAATCCATTAAACATATAAAGTAAACAGTGAAACTCAAATTCATAAAAGGGCATTTGCAATGCTATATTTGTTTCTCGTTCAGCACCTCAGATCCTATATCTTACTAAGACTAGCCTCATCTCTCAGTATCTGTATCAGCACATTTCTCTCTGGAACAGATTATAACACATCCATAGAGTCACATGATGCAACCCAGGCTTAGATGGAAGGGAGTTATATGAGCATTTGAGCTGTTTTGACCTCTTATCACAGTGGCACCAAAAATAATTTTAACACTTTTTTTCTGTGCCATTAGATGCAAAAAAATAAATAATAAATAAAAAATCAAACAATGTGGCATCTGCAAACAAATGATGCTAGATCCGTTCTCAAAACTAAATTCTGAGCTATGTTTGCTTTCCAACTGGTGTCAAATAGATTTTTGGCAGAGATATGAAGTCCATTTATACAGTTCACACAGTTTCCCTTGTAAGTGTAGTTTATTACATTAATTATGACACACGGTTCAGTATTTGTTTGAAATTAGTTTTGAGATGTCTGCTGGGATGATG